ATTCGTTTTAAAATCTGGTTCAAAACAGGCTTATGTAAAAAAACGATTAAATATTGCTACAGGAATTAATATCAAGTGCACTCTAAAAGTTCTTAAATCAAAGCTTTTCATTCAACTTAAAGTAGTTTAAAAGCTTCTGAGACAGTGTTAGAAATTGCTAAGCATATGGACGCTGGGTAACAAAAAGAGAGAGTTCGGCAGTCAGTCAAGTTGAAAGCTTTAAGCAGTTAGTGCAGCAAATACTATGTGGAGACTTCACTGTACTTCTGCTTGGCTTTGTCGAGCAAATGTTACGCATACGCCACGTGCGATACATTGGCAAAGAGCTCGCGCCCACAACATGCAGACTGTCTACTGGAATTCAATCACGCCCTTTGGCCACGTTGGGGCATTAAAATGCACTTAAGCATCGCGGCTCAAACCACGATCGAGACGGCGGGTCGGAGGGGGAGGGGGCTGGGTGAGCGGTGCGGATAGGCGGCTGAAACTTATGCAAACTACGCGACCAAATACAACTAAAGTCGCAGTCGCAGTCGAAGTCGAAGTCTACAAAGGAGTCGACTGGAGTCGCGTCTAGACAGCCAGTGAAAACTTTGACGCTGGGCAAAACTTTGGCGCTGCCAGCAAAAAACAAGTGTGAGCACTCCAGGCGAGCGTCACGACTAGTAGATACCCTGTCTGTCCTACTTTTTGTGTATATATAAGCTCCACATTTTGAAAAAAGAATTCTTGAAAAACTTCTTTATGTGTACTGTGATCCTCGTGATTTTTTAAGCAATACCATAAATCAAGGTTACAGCTTAAGAAAACTGCAATTTTTAATAATCGATATTTATCGATTTCGGAAAAAAGTGAGGTACTTTATGGCAAGTATGATCACGTTAAGGATCTGTGCTTTCTAGGCACGGAGGCAAATTCCTCTGCTGGTCACAAACATTTGCGCAACTGCAATATATCCTAACTGAAAATCGATATATATCGATATCAGAAAAAGGGCAGAACCTTATTGCAAAGACGATCACGATTATATATTTTATAGGCGTGTTGATGCACTCTTGTGCCTGTTACAAGTATCTGCACAACTGCAATATAGCCTACCTGAAGATCGATATTTATCGATTTTGGAAAAAGTGCAGTACTTTATGGCAAGTATGATTACGTTTATGATCTGTGCTTAGTAAACTTTCTAGGCACGAAGATAAACTCCTCTGCTTGTCACAAACATTTGCACAACTGCAATATACCCTGTTTTATAGCCTCGATTACAGGGTATACGGACAACAATGCAGCTGAAGCGGCGACAATAGATTTTGTGCCTTTGCTTGCGAGTTGCGAGTCGCACTTTTGAGGCGCGCGTCTCTGGGTCTGGGGCGAAAAGTTTTACGCGCTGACACGGCAGACATTGTGACGACGCGGCGAATGGGAACAATGCCTCAAATTGACATTTAATTGGTTTGCAAATTAGCCGTTGCCAGGAAGTGAAAACACGCCTCCAGCTGGAGACGGAGTAGAAGTAGGAGCTGGAGCAGGAGCAGGAGCAGCCGCATTGGAATGCAGCCACAAATGATGCAGTGCGTCTGGCTGCTTGGCTAATTGCAGCGGGCTAATCAAGCCAAGGCTTAAAGGCGGCAGCTGGGCGTGGCAAATCTAAATGCCGCCCAAATAAACAAGGACGCGCAAATTGGCCGCTAATGAACGAAATGAGATAAAGCTTAATTTGCATTTAATAATATTAACGCGTCGCTTGTGGCACATAAAAGTGGCAACAATTGGCGAGAGAAGGGGAAGAGGGGTTAGACAGAGAGGGGCAACAGCATAAATCGCATGCGGTTGCCATGACTGCAGCGACCCCTGCAGCGGTCTAGACAGGCGAGACAAGGTCTGCTGCTGCTGCTCCTGCTCCTGCTGCTGCCAGAGGACAATCTAAGGACAAACGTGGCTGTCTGCGCCAGTGCCGGCTGCCAGAGGGAGGGGGGGGAGCAGTGGCAAGGGGGAGGTGTGCGACAGCTCGTAACTTTTGAATGCAGCTCAAGCTGATTGAATTTTATGCTCAAACCCAAAAAAAGCAAATCAACTTAAATGGCAACGTGATAGCAACAGTCCCTGCCGCCGCAACACCCCCTCCACCCTTTTTCCACCCCCTGTTCCCCTTCGAGCTCTCCTGCATTGTGGCTTCCCCCCTTTGTCCACAAATTAAGCGGGAGTTGCAGCTGCTGCAACGGGCATTGTAAGGTCAAAGGGGAAGCTGCAGCTCCTATCACTGGCAGCTGCAAGGGGGGAGGAGAGGGGGCTGGGGTATTACCTCAATTCTAGTTGGCTTTTCTGGGTTTTAACTGTGCTTCGCGTCAGCAACTTTGCGCACTATTTGTACCCCATTGAATTGTGTCCTTCCAAAGGACAAATGAACAATAAAACGCGTCGCTCACGCATCGACACAGCAGAGCGGGAGGTGGGCAGAGGTGTGGAGGGGGTGGGGTTGGGTAGCTGCTGCGGGGCGGAAAGCATCCTAATGCACACTTGTGTCATATGCTGCAGTTTCCTGAAAGCGCAGTCGACACGTTCAAAGTTGCAGTTTTTATGCGAAAAAGTTGTGTTTGAATGCGAGCAATTGAGAAAGACTTAAATAAAATATTAAAAGCAGCTGCTAAAATCTTAAGATTAAACAAATAAAGTAACTAAAGCTAGATACAGAGGGAAATATAAATATTTAAATAATTTATGAGCATCAGATAAGAAAAATGAATTGAAAAAAGGCTAAAATCAGCTGGAAATATTATTTTAAGTATTTTTCTGTTCTAGATTTAAGTACAATCGAATTATGTATTGCTTAAAAGCCTTGAAAATTTTAGGAATTTAATAAACCAGAGCTTAGGGCTTTTTAGCCCTTTTTAGTAGAACAAACAAAAAGCGAAAATTGAATTTGACTTAAGTTATTTCTCGCTTAATTTCATGTTTTGATGGAAAATTTTAAACATAGTTTGGCATAAAAAGAGTTTGGAATTCACTTACCCGAGTTTTGAACAATTTTTCACAATATATTCACGTGATATTGTAAACTGAAAAAGTAGAAAAATATATTAAAATCGAAGTATAAAGTAATAAAGAAATAAAACTTAATATAATATATTAAAACAAGTAAGACGCTTTAGTCGGGGGTGCAGGACTAGGGGACGGCTCACGCTAGGGAGGGATAGGGGCGTTTATAAAGGGAAAGATACTTGATCTGTTTATGCCATCCTAGACGCTAAATCTGAAATTTGATAACTCTAGCTCCTAAAACGTAAGAGATTTGCTCAAGAAACAATATTTCGATATCAATTTTTATCGATTGCTTGGTAACGTGGCAAGTTATCGATTATCGAAAAGAAACTCGTACTGCGCGGGCACTAGGAGGACCTAAGTTCATAATTTAAAGACTCTAGCTCTTCTAGGTTCTGAGATTGACGCGTTCGTACATACGAAGCGACGCACAGACAGACGGACGGACGGTCAGACTCAGCTATTGATGCTGATCAAGAATATATATATACTTAATGGGATAGGAGATGCTTAATTCTGCCTGTTACACTCACTTTCAATGGGTTCAGGGTATAAAAAGTAGAAGATTCTTGTTTAAGCTTTAAATGAAGTTAACTTAACTTAACTTAAGCTTATAATGTCAATAGCAGAGTATTGTTAAGCTTTATTTGCTTTCACTCTAAAAAAACTCCCCCCACCACATTATTGATGCTTTGAACCCAAAACTTCTTGCCCCTCCCCACTAAAGTGCACTTCCAGATGCGGCTGTCAATTTAAATTTGGTTCTTTGGAACTCTGCTAAATGCGAGTTGACAAATGATTTTTAGGAGTTAAGTAGGGGTATTCCCGCAGTTAGTTGAGCTGCCAATTTATTTAGTGGTGCGTGCAAAATTGCGGTTATAATTTTAATGTTAATGTTGTTAGCCACGCACTTTTTAACCACTTTTTACCACCCCGCACCCCGCCCCTAACAGTAAAAGCCCAACCACAACGACAACAACAAAGACAACAAGAATGTTGGAGAGAAGCGAAACGGAACGTGCAACAGTGTCTGTTGCATTGTTGCAACGGGCTGTGTGTGATTTTGTGTACGCGCTTCGTTTGCAAGTGGCAACCACAATTTAATTAAGCCAACAAAACCAACAAAGAGGCAGGTGAGGGGGGGAGGGGGAGCAACAGCAGGGGGGGGGGGGAACCCAGGCACCATCATTATGAGGCAGGGCCAAAGGCACCGCAACACGCGGATAGACACATGCGTTGCGCTTGTTGCGAGCTGTTGCAAGCGGGGGCGGGGCGGGGGGCGTGGCTTTGCATCAGCTGCAACTGCAACTGACCGCAAAAGTGCACTGAGCGAAAAACTGTATACGAAATTGTTATATAAATCTAGGTTGAATATTAAATGCATTTACTTCCGAGTTCAAAAGTTTAATATTATTTGTTATTTTATATAAATATTATAGATTGCACTTAAAACTTTTGAAACTTGTTGACCCATGTCTATATACGAATTGTCAGGGTAAGATTTTGACATGAATTTCGACTACAAAATATGTATTCAGATTTAAATGCCAGATTATTTTAGAGGGAAAACCATTAAGAAAAATCGAAGACTCATGAAAATCGGTTGAGTTTTGACCGAGTTATGCGAATGGGAAGTTTTGACCCATGTCTATATACGAATCTTAAGGGTAAGATTTTGACATGAATTTCAACTAAAAAATATGAAGTCAGATTTAAATGTCAGATTATTTCAGAGGGAAAACCATGAAGAAAAAGCCCAGCCTCATGAAAATCGGTTGAGTTTTGACCGAGTTATGTGCATGGGAAATTTTGACCCATGTCTATATACGAATCTTTTGTTTTCTTCTGATAAGATAAGAGCCTCTTACAGTTGTATCAGGGCCTAATTTCTTTATCTGTAAACCGCAGCTAATCCAGCTTATTTGTGAGTTGTTAAGGTTTTAAAACTGGCTAGGAAAGCATTTCCTCTAAAAGACATCTTTATTTCAAAGGGCACAAAATAAATGCATTTAATTATCTTTGGTCAGGCTTGGGTTGTGGTTAACGCGGGCACATGGCATGGCGGCCGCCGTCCACGGAGAGGCTGAGGCCCGTGGTGAAGCTGGCCAAATCGCTGGCCAGAAACGCAATGGCATTGGCCACCTCCTCCGAGGTGCCGGATCGACCCAGGGCGTGCGTGGTCTTCGAGCGCTCCAGGAACTTCTGATATTCAGCCTCGTCCATGCCGCCGCGCTTGTGCAGATTCGTGACTATGACGCCGGGATTAACACAATTGGCACGCACACCCTTCGGGCCCAGGTCGAGGGCGACGCTGCGCGTGAACTGATCGACGCCCGCTTTCGAGATGTTGTAGGCCAGCAGGCCGGGAAAGGAGCGTATGCCGTTCACGCTGGACACATTGACAATGTTGCCCTTGGTCTTGACCAGCTCCGGAGTGGCCAGCATGGTCAGCTGATAGATGGCACGCAGATTGGTGTTCAGCACGCGATCGTACTGCTCCAGGCAGGTGTTCTCAATGCCGCCCGTCTCCATGATGCCCGCATTGTTCACCAGCACATCCAGTTTGCCGTATTGCTCCATTGTCTCGCTCCACACACGCGCCGTCTCCGCCTCCTTGCTGATGTCGCCCACAACCACAGCTGGTGCGGCACCAGCTGCTTTGCACTGCTCGGCCACCTGCTTCAGATTCTCCACATTGCGTCCGTTCAGCGCCAGGCAAGCGCCGCATTTGGCGAATTTAACGGCTGTGGCGGCGCCTATCCCGGAACTGGCGCCTGTTATTAGCACAACTTTGCCGGCGAAATTCATGTTTAGATTATGCACAAAATTAGCTTGGCTTTAAAATGCGCTTCTGCCGCAGCTTTTATTTTGTGTTGTCTTATTGCTTGATGAGTTATGTGTGTTATGTGTATGGGAAATTTTGACCCATGTCTATATACGAAAATACTAAATAAGATTTTGACATGAATTTCGACTAAAAAACATGTAGTCAGATTTAAATGCCAGATTATTTTAGAGGGAAAACCATGAAGAAAAAATCAAACCTCATGAAAATCGGTTGAGTTTTGACCGAGTTATGCGAATGGGAAATTTCGACCCATGTCTGTATAGGATATTTGCCAGTTTTAGATGCCAAATTGATTGATTTGAGGGTCAGTCAGTCAGTCAGGATAAACAGTTTTACATATATAGATATATGATAAATTAGCTCATATGTTATCTTTTATTCAGTAAAAATAATTCTCTAAAAAATAGAAAATTCTCAATTTTAAGCTCAAATTTTGATCTAGACAAATCTACACAAACTCTTGTAAATTTCTCTGAGTGTAGGCATTGTGAAAAAATGACTTGTTGTCGTCAGCATTAATGTGTCATTGTTGCAGTTGTTGTTGCAGTTGTTATTGTTGTTATTGTTGCAGTTGTTGCTGTTGTTGTTGTTGTTGTTGTTGTTGTCCATCTAACGGGCTTCACTTTAGTGCTTGGCCTCAGCTCAGCCCCACTGCTGGCCCCCCTTTTAGGCAGATGCTACAACAATGTTGTGGCAATAATTTAATTAAATTGAACGCTTTAAGTGATTTGCATTTTAAATTTCAATCAATATGTGGCAAGGCTTGCAGCACCTGCCGCCACAAGGAAGTCGTCTGGCGCCAAGCTGCACTCTCTGTGTGAGTGCCCCTCCTCCTCCCCTCTCTTGGTTGCTTCCCTTGTGTGCCCCACGTCATCTAATCATGTAGAAACCATCCATGTCTGGGCGCCGAACCGACCATCGAGACTGTCAGCTGGGCGACTCGGAAAATTGCTCACTTTGCTGGCGGAAACCATAAGCCGTTGCAAGTGGTCAACTGCAGTCCCTGCCCCTGCTGCTCTCTCCTCCCCCCTCCTCTTGTGCCCTGTTAAAGTTGGCGGAAGGATGTGTTGAGGGCCAACGCCCACTGTTCCAATTGCATTAAGTGCTGAATAACTTTGTCGCCTCGATTTGCACTCGGCTTTACGAATTCCCCAATTGGCAAATGGTGCGAATTTAATTGCACCGACAGCCCGGGCCTGGGCCAAGCTCCTAAGTGTATTTAAATTATCCGCCCGGACTGTCCACGTTGATAACTTTGTAAAACCCGAACTTATTTCTGTGCAGCATGCACTGGAAATCTTGGTCTTTGACTCTTAAAATCTCCTTATATATGTATATATTTCAATTTTCCTAAAATTTCTTTCTTTCTTCTTCTATTTTGCTATCGTTCTATCTTGCTATCTTTCTACCTATCTATCTATCTATCTATTTATCTATCTATCTTTCTGCATTTAGTTTTATTATATAAAAATAAAATATTATATTAAGTTAGAGCTCTTCCTAGACTTTATTTGGATTCTTTGTCCATAGTCGAGCAAAGACTTTATTAAGACTTGAAACTTCTTCTATAAAACTCTGTAAAAACTAAACCGATTTAACTATTTGATGCCATTTTCTTTTTTTTTTCTCAAGATTTTTTCATTTTAAATTATTGCCAAAATATTGAGTGATGACATATTAAATGAATAGCCCAATCTCTGTCCAGACGTGGAACTTCCATTAAACCGATTTCTTAGATTACCTCAGCTGCTAAGTCTAATTCTCTCCCAAAGCAGGGTATTTAACCGTCGTATACCCTTTACCTTATAATGTTTGTGTTTCGGTACTGCTGATTGCATTTCTTGTTTTTTGTTGCTGCTGTTGCATAAAGTGCAGCTTTTCTTGTAATTATTGCACACCATCTCCATCATCAGCACCATCATCATCATCATCATCATCATCATCATCATCATTACCATCATCATCATCATCATCTCGACGTGGGCATTGTTCTTGGCCAACCATTGCCAACATCATGCTCCGCCTCCTTTTCCTTCGCCTCCTCCTCCTCTCCCTTCTCCTGCTCCTTCTCCTGCTCCTTCTCCTGCTCCGTCTCCTGCTCCGTCGCCGTGTGGCGCGTCTCTGACTCCTTCCGGCGTCAGTTTTGCCGTGGCAACTTCCTGATTTTGGTTTAGGCGCCGCCAGGCTGCAGCGTCGCCCAAAAAGGCGCAAGTCTAAGGACTTTTGTCTGAGTGGATTTCGTCCTGCAGTTGTTTTCCTCAGCTTAATTCATGCACAATTCACATGCACAACAATTTTCACGTGACTTCATTTTCAAATTTTCGCATTTTGCAGACTTTTGCCTGACTGTGCGCTACGAAAATAGCCTGGAATCCAACAAGAGTCATAAGCGACTCCCTTCCCACCCTCCCTGCCTCTCCATATATATATATATATATATATATATATATATATATATATATATGCGATGTTTATCTCGGCAGATCTGCGGCTAGAACACAAAAATGATGTTCTGTTGTCTTTTGGGTCTGCGTTTTGTATTTTTGGATTGCTGCTGTCTCCGAGAGAGCGACAGAGAGAGAGAGGGAGGGAGAGGGGGAGAGAGAGGGAGGGGGAGAGGTATTACAACAAAACTTTGATAGCCATAATGAACGGGCCCCCCACCCGAGAAACATGCGAGGGGAAGAGAGGCGGCGAGTGGGTTAGAGTAGAAGCCCTTAGGAGCCGTAGATTTGTCGAGACCGGGACGGATGGGCGGCGTCTGGTAGGCGGGGCTGTAGCACGCTTCACGCTTGATTTTCATGTGGCTGTTGTTGTTTGACGGGCCAAGAAATACACACAGAGAGAGAGAGCGAGAGAGCGAGAGAGCGAGCGAGAGAGAGAGAGGGAAAAACAGATGAGGAAAATGCTTTTCAATTTATTTTTAAGTACGAAAATAATTTTTGTTCACGCAAAATAAAAGCAAGGCACGACACACGCCCGTCGCAGTCGTTGTCGTCGGCACCCCTCCCTCAACCCCTCCGGATCGTGTTCTAGGTATATATATGTATATATATATATATACGCATATGTCTATATGCTGCTGCCGTCGTGTGAAATATTGGAGACAAGCGGGCACTTTTTATGTTAGCTGCAAAAGTTGTGTTCAGTACGGCGCAGGTTTGCGTAAAGATCGCAGCGCAGCGAAGTGCAGACTGCAATTGGGCTGAATAACGGTAGACGAAACAAAACAAAACAAAACGAAACGAAACGAAGCGCGTGCCCCACGCCCAACGCCCACTCGCACACCCACATATACCTAAAATACATATATATATATATACAGCTATATATATAAATTTCTCATTCATAATCAGTTCTTTTCAATATTTATTTTTGTGCGCTGGCGAAAAGAAAAAAACGAAAAACAACACGCAAACTAACTGTTGCAGCGTGTCGGTGTGCGTGTGCGTGTGTGTGTGCGTGTCTTGAGTGGATTTCAGTGCGCGTGTGTGTGTTCGTGTGCGTGTGTGTGCAGTTCCAGTTGAATTTGAAAATTCCAATTGGCATCCAACTAGACGCCTCATCGGAGCCGCCGCCCGGCGCATTCTTCGCTGTCATGTGTGAAATTCTTCCTCGTCTCCGGCGGCGCTCTCTCCCAACGGCTTGATTAGCGCTCTCGACTGGTCCCCGGGGGACTGGTTCGGTTCGGCTCGTTTCGGTTCGGTTCGGCACGGTTCGGTACGGTCTTGGGTTTTCTTTCGTTTCGTTTCGTTACGTTTCTGTTCTTTTCTTTTTGTTTCTGTTTTTTTTCTTTTTTTGCTTTATTTTGCTTTTGGGTTCGGTCCTTTTTGTCGCATGCGCCTGTGGCGGGCCTTTGCGGTCTCGTGGTCTTCCATCGATTTACGCAGGAATTCACTGAATTTACGTTTGCTCAATGTCAAATTGGCGTTCGACTTTGGTATGCGTACACAACTACAAATACAACTAGAGTGTAAGACTAGCTACGGCAAGCCGAAGTGTTAATGCTCTAACAAACTTTAAAACTCGCTTTTAATATAACTAAACTAGTGCTATTTGAGGTTATGTTTTGTAAGAAACAACTACAAATACAATTAGAGAGAACGAATAGCTACGGCAAGCCGAAGTGTTAATACTCTTACAAACTACAATGCTCGCTTTTACAGTAACAAGACAAAATCTATTTTAGCTTATGTTTTGTGAGAGTTTTAGGTAAAATGTTATAGGATAAAAAAATGTGTATGCTTGAAACTTTTATTATTTTAAGAATTTCCCTTATTTTATATATCAAAGAAAATTAATTAAATTATAGAAAATTTATAGAAAAATTGTTTTGAAATAAAAGAATATGAAAACCATTTCTCCTAGACAGAAAGTAGCTAAGATACTCTCACATACTATCCAAACTATCTCTACAGCAGCTTGAGCAAAAATTAAATTTTTGACATACATAGGTATACACTATGTTATACTTAATCTATGTAGTTTGTAGTAAATATGATTTATCAAGTTGGAGTAAAACAACAAGAGGAATATTGATACTCTATTTCAACGGCATATCTTTAAGCTTGTAAGTCTGTGCATCATAAGATCTCCTAAAAAGCTCCAAAATGCTTTTATATGCACACTTGACAAACAAATGAATATGCCCAAAGTTAGGGTATTCGAACAAAACACAACTTGTATTATCAGGTATCTATATTCAACTAACAAATGCCACGCTGTTATCGATAACATTTTGTTATCGCCGCAGCACGTTGCACATTTCTTACTTCATTTTTTTCTTGTTGTTTTTTTGGCTACCCTTTATTGTCGCCCCTCTCCCTTGCACTCATGCAAATTCCTGTGTTAGCGTCCGTTTCATTTTTGTTACCGAAATAAATTAAAGAATTTAGCGACTTGTTTAAAAATAAACTGGAATGTTTTTTCTGAATTGGCTAAAACGCCTATGGCCAAATGTTTTTGTTGTTGTGCGAGGCTTTTTTTTCTTGTTTTTCTTTTATAACGGGAAAAAATATGGTATTTCCGGTCAAGTTGGATTAGATTAAATCATAAAGGTAGTCGAAACAAAATCTTCTGAATGCAAATTGCTTGCGGCACACTGTGCGGCCAAAAGTTTTGGAGTTCGTAGCACTTGTCAGCACTTTATGGCTTGGCTTTATTTATCTTTCTCTTTTTTTTTGGGGGGGGTACTCTTATTAATTATGGGTCTGAGCGAGTTTTTATGATCGCACATAAATTGCAACTTAACGTTGATCCCAGATCCCAGAAGCAGGAGCCCGTGACGTGATAAAAAAAAAAAGAAGAGAGATACCCACATAATGGCAGACAGACAGAAGCTGGCGGGGAGGAGAAGGGGGGGCAAATGAAGAGGCAATCAAATAAATTGCAAAAACAAAAAAACACAACAACAACAACAACAGACGGCAGAAACAGCAAACACAGAAAGCCAAACAACAACAACAACAACAAACGAAAAGGAGATCAACAACGAAACGAAACGAAACAGTAGCCGCACTCAGCGCTGCCTAATTGTGAGGGAAGAAGGGGGAGGAGGAGGAAGAGGAGGAAACGGTTGGGTTGGGGGGCGCAGGAGACAATAACATTTGCCAGTGTAAATGATGATTATAATGAAGATGAAGATGATGATGATGATGATGATGACGAGGCTGACTGCTGCTGTTTCATACGCCAGGAATTTCAATAAGAAAACAAAAACAAGAAAGAGCAGCTATTTGCGGCACGCCGAAGATTGAATACCCTTGTGGCTTACGGCTTTGCAGATATGTGAGGAGAATTTGATTCTACAAAAACGAGATTTTTAAACATTTCTCCCATTTTAACCATACGAAAAAGTAGACCAATTTTTTTTATAAGATTTGGGCTCATATGTGAGAAGCAAGGCAATAATAATTAATAATTTTTTGAATTGGTTAAAAAAACTGGAAAAAAAATGTTGATTTTTGTAATACGCAAGCAGAGCAGACTAAGTATACCCGAAAATTAAATAGGTTGCAGATAGAGTTTCAGAATTGAGAGACAAGTTTGTAGAGGAAGAGACTCACAATTAAGCATGGCTATATCTAGTCAACAGCTACTGATCAGGCATATATATGCATATAGATTTAATGGAATGAAAACTCTATATACGATTCATGACAAAACTGTAATACTGTTTGGCAGTGTATATAAAGCGAACTTTAAGATAAAACTGCGAAGTTTTGAGCTAAAAAGATGGAGCTGAAGTTGGGATTGGAAGCTGCCGCGACTTGGGCCTTGATTGTGCTGCATATTTAAATGCCGATCAACTTAACATTTTATTAAAATTGCATGTTGACGTGGCCCCCGCTCACTCCCCACCCTGCCTCCCTCCCTCCCCGCTGACTCAGCCCAGCTTGGCTGTGCAACAATCTGTCTCTGACACGTTTTGGGGCGCAACAAAGCGAAATGCCAGCGAAGATCATGCCACATATTAAACGCGGCAGTCAACTAGTCAAACTGTCCATCCGACTGACTGTCAGACTGACTGTCAGACTGGCTGTCAGTTTGACTGTCTGTCTGTCTGTCAGCTGCTCTTTGGGGGCGACTCCAAAGACAATTAGTGAGCCGAACAGAAGCTCAGGTTTCTCGAGATGTTTAAGGGTCTGCGAGAGGGCCTGGCGCTGGGGTTGGGTCTGGGACTGGGACTGGGTCTGGCGGGGCCTAGACTGAGTTCTTGTCTATATCTAAATCGTGCATCATGAATACAAAATGCCAGGCAAAAGTCATTCCACCTTTGTCTGGCTCTGTCTGGCTGCTCTCTGCCGGCTGAGCGGGGCGGTGCGGGGCGGGGGGCAAAAGAGGCAAAAGGGGCACAAACACAGCAAGTATGCCATTAATTTAGCTACTTTAATTTTAGCCCATTTTTGTTGTCGCTTGTAATCTTTCGTCATACAGCGGCAGGCAGCAACAACAACAACAACAGCAACAACAGCAACAATAACAAATGTGCGGCAGAGGCAATGCAACAGGCGTGGCAGGGCAGAGACAAGACACACAAGCATAAAAGCCAAAGGAGGCGCGCTGTGCGTTGTTATACCCTTCTAGAGTGCAGTTTAGCTATGTCATTAAATATGTAACGCATAGAAGCAACGATCTCCGAGCCTATAAAGCATATATATTATTGAAATCTAGCAATAGAAGTTTCTTTATGCTCGTCTCTTGATCTTCGACTGTATTTTTCTCTCCATATCAATCTTTCAGTTTTAAAGCCAACAAATTTGTCTTCTTGCTGTATATATATGTCAATCACAGCTGAATCGGGCGACTATATCATATTCCTGATCAATAAACAATTCCTTATGCTCGTCTCTTTCTCTCCGACTATCTCTTTCTCTGCAAACTAATCTCGCTTTTGTCTTCTGCTGCAGACAATGTATATGTCAATTGTCAGCTGGATCGGGCAACTATATCATAAAGCTTATAGCATATATTAGCATATAGCTGCCAAAGGAATTATCCGTCTCAATTTATGATCCGGATCCAAGCTCTGCATTTAAGAGTTCCAATATGCTATTTTTATATAACAGCCGTATCTTATGGACATCGGTTTACTATATATCTATATAGTTCCCTTTAGAGAATAGTTCGCAAAATAATTTTTTTGTTTGATAAAGCATTCTCTTTTTCCAAGACATCTTTATCAGAGTTCAGCTTCGCAATGCTCCTCACATACCCACAAGGGTATTTAATCTTCGGTTTCAGTCTTTCCTTTCTTCTTGTTATTCTTATGTTTATATGTATATTTAGAAAAAGAAGGAAAGAAAATTGTTTCGCAACGACAACGTGGATGATAATAAAACTGAAGTCGCGCGAAGTGCAACATAAATTTGCTCAAAATATTGCACATACGCACCGTGCGCCGTGGACTCTATTTGCCTTTGTCTCTGGCGGCAATTGGCAAAGAGTGCCGGCACACACACACACACTCTCATGTTGTGTTATTTATGCCCGCGTCTGTTGCTGATCTACGCCCAGCGTTTCCGCCCGCCTCCCGCCCCCTAAGTGCTGCACATTAGGAGGTGCTCTGGGCGGCAGTGGGAAATTATGTTGCGACAGAAACATTGAAACAAGGACAGACGACAGAAACAAAAACAACAACAAAATGCAGAGGGAAAAAAAAATATACACAAAAAAAATAGACTCAAAAGTGGGCGACCACACAACAGAGTGCACTGAGAGAAAAGGCAGAGTGTGTTTAGTCAGTTTTTGGGTATATTATGTATACGCCGGGTAGATTTGAAATGCTGTTAAATGTGTGAAATGGCAACTGATCATAACATAAAAAAAAGCCTTTATCTACACTTTAAAAGAAGTTAAACAGTCACTTTTTATGGCACGGTTTTAATCATACAGTTTGAGAGTCACAGCGAAATATGCATATAACGAATATTTCGGGTGGATTTGAAAATGCTGTTAAATGTGTTTAAAAGGCAATCGGTTATAACACAATAAAGGCTTTATCTACACTTTAAAAGAATTGAAAGAGTAATTTTAAAAAAAATCTTCAAGTCTCTCATTTAAAAGTCACAGTTTGAGAGTCACAGCTTAATATTCATATTACGTATTAAAAATCTCCATTAAAAACTCTCCATTTTGTTTATTAGTTAACTAAAAATGAACTTTGAACTTCAATTTTGGCAATACATATTAAGAGCCAGCAGTTTAGTTACTGCCCTAAATTTACAGTTACAGTTTGAGAGTCACAGCGAAATATGCACATAACGTATACGCCGGGTGGCTTTTTAAGAGCTAATGCTCTTTAGAAGTCGCAGCTTAAAAGTTGCTCTGCTTAAGTCACAGTTTGAAATTCGCAGTTAAAGAGTCATTGCCTTGGAGTCAAACTTTAAAGGAACGGTTCTAGAGTTTCTAGCTTATACTTCACAGTTTTTCAGTTCACAATTTAGGAATAAGATTAAGTTTGACAGACTTTGTATAAGAAAATGTTCAGTTCATATACAGTGAAAACTCTTTTGAGCGACCGTCGCACTGGTTTTATCCGCTCAAGAGGAGTGTCTGTAAAAAGAGTTTTCACTATGTACACTATATATAACTATATACTGTAAAGCTGCCAGTGGAAACACGGTATTTATCCAGTTAGAAAATACAACGTTCTTACTTCTTTTTGTATTAGATAGATATATAATGGAACTAATTCTCTTCGTTTGAATTGCCTTTCAAATGATTTTTAAGCATTACTCAACTCTTTAGTACTTTTCAACTATCTTTAACCCCTTTAATATCTGTTTGTTTTCTTCTACTTAATTTTGCAGCAGCTGCTGAGCGTTGGGTCAGTTTTGTTGGGGCTTCAATTGATGTTCCACTGTGGTCGTTGTCGAGTGCAGTGAACTATCAATTCGCATACAGCTGACGCTGTGGCCCCCACGCATTCAGCCAGTGGCGCCGCGGGGGCCCGCTGTACAGCAAGCACATTGGTCGCGTTCAATCTGACGCTTCTGGCAACAATCATATTGTGGTCGGCACAAGCCCTCGCGGTGCCCATGCACAGCAGACAAGGCCAGAGTATTGCATACTTTTGGGCGCCCAGCAGGGAACGGGAACAGCAGGAGCCAAAGCCGAGCAACAGCAGCAGCAGCAGCAGCAGCAGCAACCAAAACAACATACTTCAGAAAATCTGTCGGACATGCCAGAACGGCAGCAGCATCCAGAGAACGGAAGCATATCGCAAACATATTGGAAGCGCCGCAAGTGGAAACACAGCCAGTGGAAACGCGTCAAGTGTATATAGTGCGTACGATGCGACGCTTCGCGTTTCGCGCAGTGTAAATAGTGCAAATAATAAGTTAGATTTAATTATAAAACGCATCGGCAGCAGCCAGAGCAAAGTGTTGCCCAAACATAATTCGCTGCCAGCCGCAAATTTGCCTAATAAATTACCAACAACAACAACCGGGACACAAACAGAAACACGCGTCTATCCCGCGCCCGCGCCCGCTCCACCTCCTCCGCCTCCTCCTGGTCGTCGTCGTCGTCGTCAACATCGTCGCGCCGCGTCGCACTCGACTGACGTTGGCGTCGCCGCCGTTGCCCCTGCCACGGCATTCGGCTCGCCCGCGTCCATGTTTCTGCCATATCAAATTAATCAACGTGCTACATTGTTGCAGGCAACTAAAACAGCAACGGCAACGGCAACAATTGCAACGCCTCATGTGCCAAGAGCAACAACAGCAACAACAGCAACAACAGCAACAGCAACAACAGCAACAACACGCAACACTCTGCATGCTGCGCATCGAATTTTTAATCGTGATATAGTCCGAACAGCGACCACCGCATCACCTTTGACATCACAACAACAACAACAACATAAACAACAACAACAACCAGCAACATCGACAACATCAACATCGACAACAACAACAACAGCACGAGTCGAATTCATACTCTATACGGAGATATACGAAGAGAATTCACATTTCGATACGAATTTCGTTACGGATTTAGCGGAAAAAACGCCCAGCAAAAGCTTTTGGCAGAAATACGGTGAGTAGGTAATATATTGAAAAAGAGAAAATAAACATATCCTATATTGTCTATAAGGCTGCCAGTTATAGCCAGAATTAAATTAAATAAATAACAAACACATGTTTCAACGAGGGCTGCAAAAAAGGTTATTGGTTCGGTTCACATTTGGAACTAAGGCAGACAGGCTCAGTTCATATTTTCACAGACAGATTAAATCCGAGCTGTCGGACCCCAAAAAATGGACTCTGTTTCAGTTCAAGCGCCAGAACCAATATTATATTAAAGTTGGGATCTTGTATGAAATAATTATGTTCTCAACGTATTCAGAAATTTAAGATGGAAATCTTAACTTTACTGTCGGGCTAGCTGGGAATCTGGGAGTTATTATGATATAGCCATACAGCAAAGTTAAGATTCCGATCTTAAATTTATGATACAGTTCAACAATTGAATTCATCTGCAATTCGATAGGTTGATAGCAGACAAACAATGGTTAGTCAGACGATGGGAAATTCAAAATATATACAGTGGAAATTTTCGCTCAAAAAAATTGGATCATATCTATTCCCCCTCTATAAGGCGGACACTCCTCTAGAGCGGACAAAATATACACGATATTTCACTGTATATTTATTCATTAAAATATCATTTCTTTTAGTGATCTGTTTAGTATTAACTTAGTTTTTATCTGGCCGGCTTTTGGTTGCTTTGCGTCTGTTCGTTGCTAATAATTCTCAAGGGGTTATAGCTTCGGACTGAAGACAAGGCCTGGCAAATCTAGAGGCGATAGCAAAGTCTGCTATGATAACAGAATCGGGCGGATCTTGAAGTAGCTATGCAGACAGTCTGCTCAGACTTGGAGCTTATAGATTGTTGTTGTTGATCATTGTTTTATATTTATGTTGCCTTCTTTTTAAAATTTGCATATTTTTTACTTTATAGTTCCACTTTTGTGGCTCAAATCATTGTGAATCAGCCCATACCCCATTTCCCCTCTATAAGAGGAAGTCTCACACGACAATCGCTGTCCGCCCGAGAGAATCATTCAATATAAGGAATATAAATCCACTTTCAAGACTTAACCCTTAATAAGTTAAGCCACACCCATTCCCCCTCTATAAGGCGGAAACCTCTCTTGAGCGGAGTTTTTACTGTAAATGATACCCATTAAATTCCTTCAAAATGTTCCATACTTTCAAAATTTTTAAATTTTCAAAATTTCCATATGATTCATGAAACCTTTTCTTCCATTTCTGTTTGGGCGACTCCCCAGCTCTGTGGCCCAACTTGTCGGGCTTAAAAGACTGCAACAGCTATGAAGATGTAGATGTGGGTTTTTTTTTTATTATTTATTCACTTTTTTTTTCGAACACAGCTGCCGCTGGTTAACATAATTTTCGTGGGCATTTTTGCAACTCATTTTTGACTGCATAAATACAACGCCAGCTAAAAGAATAACAACAACAAGAAGAAGGAAGCGAAAAAAAAAACAACAGACGGCCAAAAAAAAAATACATATATATGAAATAAAATAAAAAGAGAGCGAAACAAAAGCAGAAAAGGCAAAGCTAAAAAAAAAAAATTGAAATCAACTTTTTCCAACGAATAAATTTCGAGTTTTCGATAGTCTCGGTCTGCCACAGACTGTGTCGTCGTTGTCGTTGTCGACGTTGTTGCTGTCCTCCAGACAGACGGAGACCTGGCCAGCAACAACAACAGCAACAACAACTAATACAACAACAACAACAAGTCGCAGTCTGAGTGGCTGCGCTCTACGTGGGCTCCAACAGCGTCAGACTGTCTGGTATGCCACGCTCTCACTCTGGCCGCAGAGATGCAGAGGTATATGTGTGTGTGTGTGTGTGTGTGTGTTAGTGTGTGCGTGTGTGTAACGGCACTAAGTTTCGTGATTGCCACATGTGGCTCCTTCTGACGCTGGCGGTTGCCCACTCTGTGTCTGTGTTCGAGTGTGTGTGTGTGTGCAGTTGTTGCTTTTTCAGTTGTCGCTGCGTTGTCTGACTGTGTCTGGCCTCCGTCTGTGCGCCCCGCCCCCCCTCCCGCTCTCTAAACCCCTCTCGATCTGTTCATTCATTCGTCTGTCTGTCTCTCTGCCTCGTCTGACTGTGTAGGCGTCAGCCCCTCGTCATCATCGTCGTCGTCATCATCATCGTCATCATCATCAACACGCGGCTGGCGCTCGCATTGGCCAATGCATAAAATTATACAGAGACATGACATGGTTTTGAATAATTAAGCGGAACGCCAAATGGCCTCCGCAGCCTAACCCCCCCCCCCCCCTTCCCTTTGCCTATCCACTGCGCTGCCCACTTAGGGCTTGCGACTTTTTAAGACCCAAACATGTGCATTGGATTGCAGAGCTTGCTGCCCCGCCCTCTCTCTCTCTCTCTTCAACCTCCCCTTCACTTATGACCAACAAAGTTGTCATTTTACAACTCAATTTCGAAAGGATTAGGACTTTTGCCGGCTGGGCGAAGGATTTAACTTTTGGGAGTTGAAATGCATGCTGGCAACATTTTTTGGGCATAGCTCAATGGCTTGCAAGGGCAGCCGAAGCCGTTAGGGCCTAAGGCCCAGTTAGGAGTCCAATATGGCCGTTATTAGAGATGGTTTTATATCTAATCGATATATATCGCATAAAATATATACTCTATACATTTCAAGCGAATACATTTCAAGAAATATCCAGCAAGTAGACTCAACATTCTTTAATGCATTTGACCTTTTTTAATACCTTTGACATACAAACTCTATAAATATATAATACATTAGAGAATATGGCACCATATTATAAGGATCGATATGAATACTTAATTATTAGATGTAGAGCGATGTATATATCGATATAGAAATAAGCTATGTATTTATCAATATGAATAGGCGAGTTGTATCGATGTTGGAAATTTACAAAAATAAAACATCGATACCTGAAGCTTCCTTATTCTTGAGTGGTTGAACAGAGTGAAATGAAGATAAAGAAAGAAACAGACAAATCCGCCCTTATTCCGCCAAAATTGGAAATTTACTAATTCTTGCACTTTGGCATATGCACACATTTGTTAGCCATGTTTGAGCCCTGAAAACATCACAAAGTTGGGACTATACACAGCAGAGTTAAGCTAGAATGCATTTCGGATAGTATAGGGATAAGTGCAAGAGCACGCACGATTTTCGATAGTAAAACACGAACACATCGTATAAGATCGTGCGTGCTTGGGTCGTGTGTGTCAGGCAAACACGACACGCGGCCAGCACTAACATTTAGAAAGGTTGAACAACAACAGCAATGACAGACATTATTGACAGCTGAGAATTGTTGGCTCATTTGAGACACGCTGGACACAGGTACAATTGTTGTAGTTGTTGTTGTTGCTGCTGCTGTTGTTGTTGTTGTTGTTGTTGCCACTGTTGCAGTTGCTTAGCTCTGCTCTGCTTCGAGCTGTCACAGTTGTCTGCTGTCTGCTGTTTCCTGTTGCTGCGGCTGCCACGACAGACAACGTCTGTAGTCTAGACATAAGAGCACGATAAGGGCGGGCAACGGGGTGCATAGCCTGGCGTGGAGGATGAGGGAGGAGGTGGGGAGGGGGTAGGGGGCTGTGACAGCTGCCCAAGCTCAGGTGAAACACCGGGCGCGCACATCAACCGTCTGTTTTGTCGTCTGTAAAGTTATGGCCTAAAGAGTTGTCGTTGTTGCCGCCGTTGCCCGCTTTGGCGGTTCGCTGCGCCCCGGCGGTGCGGTGCGGGGCGGGTCGGTGCGGTGCGGTGCGGCAGTTGACAGCCTTAGATCAGAAGTGCAGTTGGCAGTTGATTTATGGCGGCGTTGAGTGCCTTTATGCGCACCTCAAATATGACAGAAGGCGTTGCAAGAGCGGGCACACAAAAAAAAAAAAAAAATAAAAAATACATAAAACCTGCCACAGAGCCTGCCCCTGCCAGTGCGCCTGCCCCTGCTCCTGCCGCTGCCCCTGGGGCAAACATTGACGGAAGTTGTCGTCCTTTTGCGCCCTTTCCTTTTGCGGCCGCTGCTGCTGCTGCTTGTTCTGTCCATTCACGCAACGAGCAAATTGTGGCAATTACCTGGCCTGCCTGTGCCACTGCCACAGCCACTGCCACTGGCAGTGCCACTTGCCACTTGCCCTGTCCGCGTCTGTGTTGCATATTTCCTTGCTCCACATTGCTGTCGTTCTTGTCGCACCATTGCCGCTGTCAAAGTTGCCGGCGTGTTGCATGCTCAGCGATGCGTGTCGACAGCATATCAAACATATCCACATCCATCCGCCTGTCCCCCCCCCCTCTCTTCCTCTTCCCCTTCCCCCTCTATCTGTGTGTGTGTGCGACCAGCCAAGCGCCTAACTGGCCTGCGTCCATTATTGAGCTGTCCCTTCCCTAACCCCACTTAACGCTTTTGTTTTGCAATAATTATAATTGCGTTTGTATTCAAAACCCCATTTAATTACGTTTGCCGAAATTTTAATACCCTTTGACAAATTTATAATCCGTAGAATAATTTCCATAAATATGAATTTGGGATCTGACTCATCGATGACGTCATCGCTGACATGTCATGAGAAAGCCTTAAAGAAAATCGCTCGAAGACAACGCTGCTGACGATGTCATGCAGGGTGTCTTCCCAGTTGTCTAGCAAAACAGGTTATCGAGTATCATATGAGACTAAATTAGGTCTAAATTAAACCTTAAAGAAAATCGCTCGAAGACAACGCTGCTGACATGTCATGCAGAGTGTCCTCCCGATTAAACACAACGTCGCAGAGTGTCTTGCCAGTAGTCTAGCAAGACAGGTCATCGAGAGTGTCATGTAAGACTAAAATTGGTCTAAAGTAAACCTTAACCGCTCGAAGACAAATCTGCTGACATGTCATGCAAAGTGTCTTGTCTGCATGATTCCTTCCGCTGCCTCTTTTCGCATTTAAAAAAATTAATTACATGACTTTATGGCACTTGTAACATTGATATATTCCACATGACGTGCTACACATATTCAAACAAAATCACAATAAAATTAAACCCTGAAGACGCGAGTCAGCGTTTGAGTCCTGCCGGTTAGCGCCCCAATGAATTTGATAGCCAGCCGAATATGAAGGCAGAAACCTTTTGAGGAGCATTACAATTTCAAATAGTTCACAATCAAATGCAATAGGCTGCAACGCTCGGATTCTGTCGGGCACATTCGAGCACGTAACCTGAGGAAAAACAGAAATCGAGTCGAATGCAAGTGAGAGCGATAAAAACTGCAATCGTAATGCGAAGCAGATGAAACCGAATGATGCGAATGACGCGAATGACGTGCAACGCTTGCCTCGAGCCGAGCCAGCCGCCGATTGGGGGCTGGCGGAGCAGGAGAGCCGACCGACCGACCGACCGACGGACGGACGGACCGACCGGCCGGCGAGGCACAGGCACACAGAAATTGCAACCGATAATAATTATTTTTATGGAGTCTAGTCTGTGTCTAGACGATTTTTTTTTGTTTTTGGTCTTTTTTTTTTTTGCAGTTACTTCACTTGCCATTTGGCGAGCAGGTCGGATTCAGCCACCACTTTTGGTGTCTCGAGAGGGGAGGGTCTGCTGCTGCTGCCGCCGCTGCTGTGTGTCATTGTTTTCGCTTTGATTCCGATTTAACTGGTAAACTGGCATTTAACTGTTTCTCTTTGACAAACAAGACAGACGGGCGAGCGGCTGGGCGGCGTGCGGAACAGGCCCAGACAGACAACTGCACCAAATACAGCTGGGAGATAACTAGCGAGCCCGACTGACGAGACAGTCGGTCGGTCGGACGGGTGGACGGACGGACAATCGGGCAGACAGTCCAAACATGCGGAAAAGTCAAACCTCGCTCTCTCGTTCGTTCGGTCTGCAGCTTCTGCGTCCAGCTTCAGCTAATGCTGCCCCTTTGGTCCAGTTGGTCATCGAGAAAAATGGCACCTCAAGCCGCAGACGCAGCTGCCGTTTGTTGTTTGCCACCTGGCTCTATTTGCCATTCGGCGGCAGGTAACCGAAACGCAAGCGGGCCTGCTCGTACAGCATAAAGGTGATAATCGTATTGGGACTGACGCGCATCAGCGCCGGCACAAAACCCTTGTAGAACGCCAATGGACCCTGTTTCGCTGTGGCAATGGCAACCGCTGCCAGTCCGTTGAATTCGCCGGGCGGGGCATTCATATACGTGGTCTTCATCACATCGATCGGCTGCGTCATGACCGTGCCTATGATGCCGGCTACGGTTGAGGTTAGAAAATGCAGCGGCAGTCCCTCCTTCAGTTCAAATTTTCCCTGCAGCACTTGCTTGACCTGATCGTAAGCCGCGTTTGTGCCAATTGTCAGCAGCACGGCTCGGGTCAAAGCTGGCACCGTGCCACGGAATAGACTACGGACACCCTCCTCCTTAGAGATGCGATAGAGACCGTCGAAAACGTGCTTGTAGCTGGGGTAGAGCGGGCATTTAGTTTACAGAAAAGAGACAAATATGAGTGTTCTAGTCGGGTGTGTTCGACGGGCAGATACCCTAAATCTAGAGGCAAGCTGCATTTACAAACATTCTATCTTTCTGTCTATACTAAATCACAAGGCTCTATCTTTATAAATGAAGGTTTCTTTAGTTTAAAGGGGAACGGTGGGAGGTATCCAAGAAAGGAATTATTTTTAAACTGTGTATTCTATAAGAAACCTACATATCAATTTTGCTGTATCTAGCTCTTATAATCCTCGAGTTATGCCGCGATTCTTCCAAATTTTCTTCCGTCAATCTCTCACTATCTATGGGAAATGGATGCTTAATTGACTGGGACGTTTATTGCCCGATCCCTTAGTAATTTGTGGGGCATAAATATTACTTTTAAATATGTGTATGTACCATATTTCAATATCTTTACTCAAAAAACATATGGATAACTTTGGAGAAACTGGAGGGAAGTATAGAAAGCAAATACTTAGGCTCTACAAGCAGCTATATACGCAATTTGATGGGTCTAGCTCTTATAATCTCGGAAATATGCTCAAAAAACAGTCGATATTTTTCAATTTCAGGGAAGTCGGATAAACTGTTGGCATGGTCTGGTATATAAGAACATAAATAGTTTCCCGCGATCGTCCTGTTTATAGAGAGGGACAGACAAACTAGACAGACTGGACTAGATAACCTCAGCTGTTAAAGCAGATCAATCTCAAGTCTTATTATGGTTATATTCTATATCGTATGCTTATCTCGGCCGCAATTAGTACAGGGTATAACTAATTTGGAGCATAACAAATTATAGAGACAAACCAGATGGACTAAATAATAGACTCAGCAGTTGAAGCTGCTCAATCTCAAGTCTGAATATAGCCTGTTTAACTCGTCCTCAATGAGTACAGGGTATTACTACTTTGAAGCATAAAAAGGTGTAACTAATTTGGAGCATAAATAGTCTCCCGAGATCGTCCTGGTAATATATACAGGCACAAACTATGGAGACAAACTAGATACTCTGCTGTTAAAGCGGCTCAATCTCAAGTCTGATAACGATTATATCCTATTTAACTCGACCTCAATGTGTACAGGGTATAACTACTTTGGAGCACAAATAGATACAACTACTCCTGGTAATTTAGAGAGACAAACTATAGAGACAAACTAGATACTTTAGACTAGATAGCCTCAGCTGTTGAAGCTGCTCAATTTCAAGGTCTGACTATATCCTATTTAACTCGACCTTAATGTGTACAGGGTATAACTACTTTGGCTGCTCACTTGCGTCGCTTTTCTACCGGCAACTTGCTATCGTTCTGCAACCGCACTGTGACCACATCGCCCGGCACGCCCACAATGCCACCAAAGATGCCCGCAAATGTGGCCAGCTGCACCTTGGCGCTCATATTGTTTGCATCCACAAATTGCTTGCCATATTCGTAGAGCGCAAAGCGTGCTGTTGTGTAGGTGAGCTGCCGGAACCAGGCGGCCGAAATGCCACTGTAAAATCCCACAATGCCTAAATCAGGCGTTATTTGGCGTTATGTTTTCGCAAAAAATATGATGTTGCTTTCTTTGCCACTCACCTGAATTTTTGTATATATTGGCAATCAGCTGCGAGACGGGCACCTTTGTTGTCTGCGTTTGCAGTTGGACTTTTATTAAATCAAGTGGATGCGTTGTTGTCACCGCAATTGCGGAACAAACACCGCCCGACCACCAACGCGGCAGACGCCGCGAGTTATTATCACCCATTTATGAGAAAAAATATATATATATATATATAATATATATATATTGAAATTAATTGGGCAGCAACAACAAACCGTCGAACCCAAACGCAAAAATCATTTCAATGCTAAATTTTGATTTTAAAAATATCGAAAATTTAAAGTACGTTGCTTGACAACACACAAATTTATGATACTAGATACAACTACCTGATACACAACTAAACACAAATATTTTTTCTTTAAATTTCAAAAAAATATATATATTTTCACCCATTTTTCGCGTGTGTGTGTGGATCTGACAATATCGCTGCAACTTTTACTACCCATTTTCCACTCAAAGGCGTGGATTTTCCCCAAATCGCCAAAATATGTGTAAAATTTATTTTCATCCAGTTTCGTAAAACTGTTCCACACTTGTGAATGGAAATATTTTAAAAAATTTTCCCTATACAAAGTTCATTAATTGGTTTTCACTCGGCGGAGTGGATTTAGCCAAAATCGCTTAAAAGTATCTCATTATCATTTTCTTAGTTTTTCCCTTCAAACAAACTTTAATACCCATATTTCACCTAGCGTGGATTTGACAAAATCGCTTCAAATGTTTTTTTACATTTGATTAAAGAGCTTTTCATCCATTTCCATACTTGTGAGTAAAATATAATTCTCCCTCATACAAACTTCATTAACTTTTTATGCTTAAGCAGGCATCTAATAACTTTTAACCTATTTTCACTTAAGAGTTTTTCGCCCATTTTCCACACTTGTAGGTGGAATTTATTTAAAACTTCTAAAATCGACTTTTCAACAAATGTTTTCTAAGATCTGGCATATTATAATAAAGTAAAATATTCTAAGACTTATTTTGGCTATAGTTGAAATGGAATCAAGTGCCCTGCATTTTCATTGAGTGTATTGCGACTTGCCGCAGTTGCCGGTTGCCAGTTGAGTTGTTGGCGGCATTTGCCATGACAATAAACGACACCTTTTGCACTCTGGTCTCTGGTATTCCGCATCGGTGCTCAGCTGCCTCGGCGGCAACAACTGCTCCGATATTATGTTATTATGGCAATTATAGTTACGACACGATTCGCTGTCTTTCATGACAGAGGCGGCATCTATGGTATTTTTGAGAATGTGCACAGATTTGCTCGCTGCGATAAGTATGGAGGCGAACTGATGCCGCAGTCGCAGTTGCAATTACAAACATTTTAATGCAATTAACACACACACACCTGTGCAAGGTAAGGGAGACGGTTCGCTGCTCATTTGCCTGGCCGAATGCAATTCGAAACGCGGCGGCATCGCCAAAAGCCAAGCTCAAACTTCACAAAAAACAACAACAACAGCAACGAAAAATCTTCAAAGCGTTTGCGACATCTGTGCGTGTGTCAGTGTCGATTTCAACCCACAATGCACCACCACCACCACCACCACCAACAGCACCAGCACCACCGGCACCACCAGCCAAGAGACTAAGGCAAGGTTTGCGCCTCTGTGAGGTTTGCCGCCCCGGACTGCTATCAGTGTACCAGATACGTCCTCCTCGATGTCGTCGTCTGCGTTCTTGTCTTCTTTGTAGTTGCCGCCTGCACTTCTTGCCAGCGCGTGTGTCTGTGTGTCTGTGTCTGTGTGTGTGTGTGTGTGTGTGTGTCGGGGCCAAGTCTAACGAGCCAGTTGGCCAGTTGATAATAAGGGCCAGTTGAACATGCCACCGGCCGCAATATGGTTACAACATGTCATCCACGTCCTTTTAGCCAATGACCGGCGAATGCAATCAGTTTGCGCTTCATTTCACCCAAAGGGCTCTTCACTTGGCGTATTGTCTTAATTATTGCAAGCGTGTGTGCACAGAAGGGTCAATGGGTTAAAGGGCGTTGCAGAAGCGAAGAAGAGAATTTGCTCAATTGATACGTTAGAGAATTGATTAGCTAAACTCCTTTTAAGTGTTGAAGGGACTGAGACTGAAAACATATTTATTATTTCAATAACGATATTTTCCATATAAGGGAGCCCGAATTCAAGAGTTCTATAAAATATGTAAGCCTTATTTTTATTGCGATTTATCTATATATCATATATATACAAGAATATTCAAGCTTCTAAAGTTTTACTCAACATTGCGATAGCTTTTGGATTGCTTCAAGCATGAAAATACTTTTTATAATATTTTCAGCCTCATGTCAGCTTTATTTTTCCTATTTCTGTAATATTTCTGCAATTATATTGAGATCAATTATGATTTTTACTGAATTCAAGAATGTTACCGTTTGCTGCGGGATTTGAACCAGCAACCTGTCGCTTGTTAACCCTTTGCACAGACACTAGAGTCGCACAGTCTCATGACGTCACGTTTGCAAAGCAATGTTGAATGCTTTTTAAACAAACTTTGAAATCCTTTTTGCCCTAATTTGTTAATTTTCCATCTTAGTACTTATTTTGGCATCAAAAAGAAGCTTATGTAAATACTTTAAGTATCATTTATGCTTAATTCAAGAATGTTCTAGTTGAGTTCTAGTCAGAATACTAATAATAAAAATAATAATAACATTATAATAGCAGCACCAATAACAATATTAACCTTTCCCAAAGTAATAAAGACCAGAATAAAGCCAGAAACCCGAAGAGAGCTCTCAATCTCTTTAATCTTTATTTTACCTGTACAACTGACACCTGGCCGTACAGAGTATCTCAATTAATGAAAGTATAGGTTGGCAGAAGCTTTAATGAAATTATACGCTTTTTGGCTCTGTGCACTCAAAGCAAGATTAAGGAGCAGAACTTTGGGTAAACATAAATAGATGCCCCATGGAGAAGTGGCTAACTAACCGACGCTCTGATTGCCGCAGCTGGCCATATCCATTATAATCCGACAGGCTAAACAGTAAAAGCCACAAAGCTCGCTTGCTGCTTACGCAATACACGTGCCAGACAGGAAGAGAGGAGGAGAGAGAGTGGGAGAGAGAGAGAGAGAGAGGCAGATGGCAGCCAGGTAGCTATGCTCATCAGCTGGCGTCCAGGGTAAACTATTTACCCAAGCGATTAGCTGCCGTTTCACTTGGCAGACGACTAAATGACTCGACAACCTTGGCAGCATGCTCCAGGGAAATGCCTAAGTAGAGTGAGAGAGACAGAGAGAGAGAGAGAGAGAGAGAGAGAGAGAGAGAGAGTAGGGGAGGGCGGGGCAGTTGGCTTTGGGGACACAACCAATTTTCATATTCTAGGTCATTAGAGAAAAACAAAATAGACGAAAAACAAAATATGCTTTAATTATTAATGATGTGCTAAACAAACACAGGCGGCGCTTGTCCTAAAGCATCTTGCTCTCGGCTTTTCATTAAATTTTCAAAACAGTTTTCCTGCCATTTTCCGAGCTAGAATTCGGTTTATTCTAAATCTGTAAAAGATGAATCCACTAATTTTGTATGCACAGCTTTGAGAAGAAGTTTTAAGTCAATTAAAAGAAATTAATTTCACTTCCGCCCAGTGGGGTGGATTTTACGAAAGGTGTTATGGCTTTCACGCTTTTTCCTAACTCGGTTCGGGTTTATCAAAAATCGGTAAAAATACATCAATTTTTCATGCACAGCTTTGTTACATTGAAAGTCAATCAGAATAAATAAATTTCATTTCCATCCATTGGGGTGGATTTTACGAAAGTTGTGAATAATGGCTTTCATGCATTTACTCAAAAAAACTTATACAACACAGTAATTTAAACTTTAAGGCGCATTGTACACAAAACAAAAACACTTCACACATGCGGTTTCCGCCAATTTTCCACTGTTTCTAGTGGAATTTTTTTACAGTGTATGGAATGTCAAAATAAAAGCAGTCAGTGAGAACGTACAAAAACGAGTAACTGCACCTGGAATTCGATTTTATTTAATTGGTTATCCTTAGGTAAAGATTAACGGTGCACGCCTCCACATTGTAGACATAGAAGATGACAAAGATGGCATAATCTCCCATGGGTACGGGCAAATATCGTGTAAATTCCAACTCATGATCGCCAGTATATAGCTTGTCTACTATAATGTCATGCTAATTGAGAAGGATAAATGAATAAGACCTATATATGGATAGCCATAATTCAAGAGCTACTCACATTGTAGGGACACGTGTGATTCATGTTGGAGCGATCTTTCAAGGTGTTATAAAATAGTATTAAAATGGGATGTCTCGGCTTTTTTAGAAACTTGCACGCATCGAAGGTGACATCAAAGAAAAAAGGCTTATAGCCAGAGTTATAGCGCATGGACCGAATGTTGATCTATTGACAAGCTTTGAATGTTTAGCAGACAAGTACTTATACTTGTAACTGGGCGTGGCACTCACCGACACATTGTTCAAGGGCTTCGTATAGATGTTCGCATATACGCTAATATACTTGTGGGTACGATTCACAGCCTTGATGTGACAATGCTGAAAATTGCCAATCTTTCTATCCGTAAAGTTGCACTTTAGATTCGTGAATGTCACATGTGCCACAATACACTGCAAACGATAAAATGCTGAGCCCGAGTGCAGGGAAAATAGATTTTCCTTTGCTTACCGTCAGAAAACCCATGCAGCAGCAAACAAATAACTTTCTCAGCATGTTGATGAAACAAATATGAAACAAAGCATTAAACATTGCTTTTCTAAAAGCTTTTTTGATTTCATTCACGGGTGCAATTAATACAACTTTCAGAGAACCAATCGCAATTATACGGTATTTAAACGCAATAATATTATTATTATCACAAATAATATTATAATTATCAAAATGGATGCACACTTTAGGGGCTTTTAGTCAATTTACGTTTTAACATTTCATTAAATATTTACTTAGCATGCAAAACCGCAAATTCTGTTTTGTGGCATATTCGTAAACGATTTGCTGGAAGAGAAGTAGAGTTAGAGAGAGAGAGAGAGGGGGATAGAGAGAGGGAGAGAGAAAGAGACCGAAAAAGAGAGAGAGCGGTACAATTTCAAATTGCTTTGTTCTTACATTTGTAAACATTTTGTTGTTCTCTTTTGTTTTCTGTTTCGTATTCTTAAACGTTTTGCTGGCAACATTAAATAAAGCGCATTCACTTTCTTCTTTCCTTTCTGTCTCACCTTCTTAAACGTTTTGCTGGCAACATTAACTTAAAAAGAAGCCGCTTGCTTTTTCCAGTTCCTGTTTTTTATCATATTCTTATGGAAGAGATCGAATGAACACCTGAATACTTTCTTTGTTGTATTCTTAAACGTTGTACCCTAAGGTTTACTTGGGATATACATTTCATAAGAGAGAGAAAATATATAGAATAATATATTCCTATATCTATTTCCGAATAGAACACATATTTTCAATTAAATACTTTAAGTTTTGACTGGTTCTCAACTCAAGCGTATGCAATGAATATACACAAAGTTTTTAATATAGAGAAGAGGACGTTGGGGGAAGTGTACAAAGGTAAAGCTGACCAGGCAATAGGGGGAACGCGAAACGAGTCCAGACAAAAAGAATTTTATTGGCCTTCACTTAACGCTCATAAATTTGTCTGCCGCGAAAGCTGGAACAACAAGAAGAACAAGAGGAAGCAAAGGCAAGATGAAGACAAAATAAGGTTGATATGCGAGGCTTCCGCTGCCGCGAACTGGTTCCAAAATGGACTCCAGAGACAACGCCAGACGTGCGTGTGCGTCCGTGTGTGTGTGTGTGTGGGTGTGCGTAAAAAAGTGCTATTAAATTGGCATGTTACACGGGTTAGCGAGCCACCTGCACCACACCCAGGTGCAGTCCACCCTTTTCTTGTTTTGGCCACAATTCACATTCAGCGCTGACCTCGGGTTAAACTTGGCTGAAAAAAGTCGCGACGGCTGCCACTTCACGCATAAATCTGATCGAAAAGTCGTCGCTGCAGCATTTTGAGGCCAACTTGGCAACTTTGTCTGGGCCAATTTCAGTTTGAGCTGCAGTCAGCGGCTGCAGCAGCTGGTCTAAAAATAGCCATGGCCTCATGTTGGTCAAGTTTGCTGCCCCGAATGCCTGCCAGCCCGCCTCCTCACCCCCCCTTTAACATTGTGCCCCTGCCTTTGAAACGTTAGTCTGGCTTTCAGCTCTGATCGCGTTTCGTGCGTCATTGCATGCGCACACACACACACACACACACACAGAGACACACACACACAACTCGATTCGTCCCGAGTCGCGTCTCGCAAGGCGTTGCACCTTTGGGCGAAGGTGCATTGATCGCTGCGTCTGCTGCAGCGCCAGATCCGAGACCGCAGCTCGGTCATTGCCTCAGCGCAAACTCAAAATTATTGTTGTATTTAAGGTATTTATGTGCATATCTCTGAGCCAGTCACAAAAAAAAAATACCAATAAAAATCGCAGAGAAAAGTGTCAAGAAATATCTCGGAATTGCCGAAGAAAATATACACTTGCAGATATAGATATAGATATAGATATATATCTATATCTATATCTATATCTATATCTATATCTATATCTATATCTATATCTATATCTATATCTATATCTATATCTATATCTATATCTATATCTATATCTATATCTATATCTATATCTATATCTATATCTATATCTATATCTATATCTATATCTATATCTATATCTATATCTATATCTATATCTATATCTATATCTATATCTATATCTATATCTATATCTATATCTATATCTATATCTATATCTATATCTATATCTATATCTATATCTATATCTATATCTATATCTATATCTATATCTATATCTATATCTATATCTATATCTATATCTATATCTATATCTATATCTATATCTATATCTATATCTATATCTATATCTATATCTATATCTATATCTATATCTATATCTATATCTATATCTATATCTATATCTATATCTATATCTATATCTATATCTATATCTATATCTATATCTATATCTATATCTATATCTATATCTATATCTATATCTATATCTATATCTATATCTATATCTATATCTATATCTATATCTATATCTATATCTATATCTATATCTATATCTATATCTACATCTACATCTATATCTGGGCTGATCCAATTATATATCCCCTTTATGAAGTGTCTGCTCAATGCGTTACAGATTTCATTACAAAATGTGAATACCCCACCAGGCAAAGGGTACAACAACAGTCAACAAATTGAAACTGAAAAATGCGTTCAATGAACGCGCATCGAAAACGCAGCGCGCGTGCGTTTTGGGGCAACGATCGATGATCGATAAGAGAAGGCGACGCGCCACATGAACAGACGACGCCATTTGGTTTTGACTGAACAAATTATGTGCCAAGTGCAGTTTGCAGTTTGCAGTTGACTTTGGACTGAGCGCCGAGCCATTCAAATGGTCCAACACACGCGTCACACCCAGTGTTGACAACTGTCGCTCTAAAAAAAGTTGCAAAATTGAACAAGAGTACCTATATAGTATAATACCTGAATTGAGTTAGCAGGTCAACTCGTACGATTAAGACCACTTCGACTAAAAAATATGTAGTCAGATTTAAATGCGAGATTAATCTAGAGGGAAAACCATGAAGGAAAAGCCAAGCCTCATAAAAATCGGTTGAGTTTTGACCGAGTTATGCGAATGGGAAATTTCGACCCATGCCTATATAAAATGGCTAAATAACATGTAGTCAGATTTAAATACCAGATTAATAGCCAACATTTCATAGAACTGCATGTTTCTGGTTAATTTAGCCTTATTTTGTTCGAATAGATTTAAAATTTAGCTATACAAGAGCCGGAATAGCAGAAAGCTACACATTTGAACAGTCGCCTGCTGACAACATCTGGAAATAGCTCAATTTAGCTAGATAGTAGACAGAGTTACAGGCAGTTGCAAATTTCAACAGTTTTCTACTGACGACTTTTGTATATAGCCAAATATAGCTTTTAAAACAGCTAGTTTTAAAGGTAGCTTCGAGTTTCAACAGTTCCCTGATAGTTAATCATTTAAATTTATCTATAAAATAGCCAGCGTTACAGACACCTGTAAACTTCAAGTTGAATATTGCCTAATTTAGCTATAAACTAGCCAGAACTGACAACACTGATCACACTACGCTCCCCGCCCATTTATGGAACCCCACCCACTGCCTCATCCAGCTGCTCGCTTGATGAATGGGACACGTGCGCATTAGCTGGCCGGCGCTGGCCAGGCCCGAGCAGAGCAAGCCATGCCCGACGAGCAAACAAATACACACACAGTCACACACACACACACACACAGTCGCACAACAGCAATCAGAAATCCATTGGGGCCGGCGCAGTTCATCGGCCAGCGAATCGATTGAGTAACTGACTGACTGACTGCATAACTGAGCGTGCAACTGACTCAACTGGCGCAATAAAATATAAAACACACACTCGCACACACACACACACACTCGTTGATTAGCCAGAGCTAATTGCAGCCGAGAGTGTCATGTGTGTGTGTGTGCATGCGCCATTCACTGATTGCTTAAGGCTCAAGCATGTCGCGACAGTTGATTTAACTCACTTTCAATAGAGCCAGACGACCTATCGTAAAGACCGCGCGCCGAGCCAATCCAACTGCCGGCCATTGATAATGCATAATAAACCAATAAAATACAAATACTAATTGCAATTATTATAGACCTGACCCTGACTGTCTGCTAGCCAGCCTGTCTGTCTGTCCGTCTGTCTATCAGTCCAACTGTCTGATTGTTTATCTAACAGTTGCGCCTGTCTGCGGTTCATTTATTTGGCCAACATTAATATAATACAAATAATATGGTTTATGAGTCCTTTATAAATAAAACATACACAAATTCACAGACCAACTCAATTATCTCATGACGTCACGATTGCAAAATAAACTTATAATGCTGCGTTTTGATACCCTGAACTCTTACATTGTATATAACAGACAGAAGGAAGCAACTCCGATCCGTTAAAGTATATATATTCTTGATCAGCATCAATAGCTGAGTCGATATTGATGTGTCTTTAATTGCTAGCTGTGGAATTGATGTTCCAAGGGGTCGCTGATTGACGCTCATATTTATTCCTATAATAGGAATCAAGTTGAGCCCATTGACTTTAATGCCCTTCCGTCCGTCTGTCTGTATGAACGCGTCGATCTCAGAGCCTAAAAGAGCTAGAGTCTTAAAAAAATGAGCGTAGGTCCTCCCAGCACCCGCGCAGTGAGAGTTTGTTTTCGATAATCGATAACTTTTCCCGGTGTGAAGTAATCGATAACAATCTATATCGACATTCTGTTTTTAGAGCTAATCTCTTAGATTTTACGAACTAGAGTCACCAAATTTGTAGAATAGTATACAGAGATCAAGTATCTTTCACTTTATAGCAAACAGCCGCGAGCTGCATTTGATAGAAGACGGTTCAGGGTATACCCCAGTCGGGCATTCCCGACTAGAGCACTCCTACTTGATCTTAATATTCTTTCTCTGACAATCATTTTTCCTCACTTGCGGTTCCTAATTTCCAAAACCACATCTAGATGCTCAATTACGAACCAAAAAACTATTTTAGACATTTGAGCAGCCCAAGAGCTTAGCTTACATCATTCAGTCAGTCAATCAGCACAAACTGATGTAAATACACAAATGATCATAGAATTTTACTAGCCCTTGGCTAAGTCATATCCCAAACTGTTCTTCCTTCTTGGGCTGAAATACTGCGTCTCTTTGAAAGCCTTATCAAACCTTGGTAAAAGTTCAATTTGGGCAAAAGTTTAAGCAAACAAAAAAAACGTGTGCAAACATGCAAGACACAACGCTTAAATCAAAATATTATCCAATTATATTTGAAGCATTTAAAGTACACTTAAAACTCGACGAAACTCAGACGCGAGGCCCTCATCTGCAAATGTTTATGTTGGCCATGCCTTAAAAATGAAATCGCACAATCTTCAATCAGCTTAACTGCGCATAAATATCTAAGATGTCGTCACATACATTTACTGTCATATTTGGTGTATTAAATAAATAAAAGTTCCCACACACACACACATAGGCACACACCCACGCATACACTCGACACGTATTTTCGAGGTGCGCACAAATGTTGTCTCACTTCCTTTCGGTTGCCTACTTCCGATGCCAAACGCGACGTCATCGCAGGCTGCCAACGCGGCGTATGCCTTATATTGCCGGCATTGCGTATACGCCGCATGGCACACAGAACCTACTGTAAATATGCGTGGGCAGCACATTCTTATTCCTCTCCTTTTTTTCCTTTATTTTTTTTTTTGTTTTGTTTGATATGCCTGCGTGTCCTTGAGCTCGCATTACGTCGCTTATTTTATGTGCATGTTTGCCTGCGCGCATATAATGTAGCCCACAGGACACGCCCCGCTACCCGATACCCTTGCACAGAGCTTGGCTGCCCCAGAAGCCTCTTCCGTTTTGCGTGCCTGCGTCGCAATGTGCTGCTCCAGCTTTATCTGCTGCTGTTCCTCCATTTTTTTTACATTTTTTTTGCTATACCCTGTATCCATTGAAGTGGCTTAAAAGGGTTTCAGGCTGACCCTAAAGAAGCTCTCTATCTGGACTCTATTCATGAGAGCTACTAAAAACGATTTTGCTTTAAATCAAAAGTGCTTCAAGTGCTTCGCTTTAGGGAAATTCTCAAATTTTTATATAGTTTAATCAAGGCTGGGCTGCAAAACGTTTTAAAATTGAACCAAATCCGAAACGAACTATTTTTTTGGGATTATTTGTTAATATTATTGGAGAATTTGTTACTTTTTTGGCTCTCAATGTTCTATATACGACATATGAACAAGTTCTTTGTGAACACAAAAATGTATGTTGAAAACATTTAATCTCTGTTTAAGTTAATAGAAATATGTAAAGCATATTAAATACCAAGGCTCTCACTTAAACCCACATTCTTGGATGTGAAAAAGCAAATCCACTGAGGTTCGGTTCACAAGATTTGGTTCGTAAGAATCACGAGGTTGGGTTTTTGTGGTTCGGTTCATAAGGCTTGGTTCACGAGGCTTTGTTCACGTGGTTCGGTTCACGAGGTTCAGTTCAGGAGTTTCTCGTGGTTTGGTTTGTAAGATTCGCGAGGTTCGATTCTTGGGGATAACGAGGTTTGGTTTGTAAGATTCATGAGGTTTGGTTTATAAGGGTTGGTTTATGAGATTCGGTTCATAAGGCTCGGACCTTGAGTTTCACGAGATGTGGCTCGTAAACCTAGTTGTCCACATACATGTGTGAACCTTAGGATGTTTTTAAGTCTTAGTTCTTACATGCCTTGCGATAAATGAAGAATTGTGTGTGTTTGAAATTGTGTTTTTTGCTGTAATCTGACTTCCCTTTCGAAGTTCTCACTTGCGTCATTCTTTTAACACATGATTTTGCCTATTTATTTTTAAACACAGGGTATCTTGTAGTCATGCCCATTTGTAATCCTTGCTCACTGAATGCTAATCCCTCTCAAGCTAACAGCCAGACGGCTCCTGCAACGCACATCCTGCGTTGTCGCTTATGCGTAGTTAGTTGTCTGCTGTTTTGTGGCCTGAGCTTTTATTTGTGGGCCCCTCCACTTAAACCACCCCCCCCCCCCTCCAACCCCTTACCCCTTGCGTCTGCGCCGCCCAATGTCGCAACGTCGTGTCGGCCTAAATGCCGCTTTGCCAGCCACACAGACACAGACACGTAACGTAATTTCGTGGCAGTACCGTGGCAAATGAGGCAGACAACACTGCGCTACCGGGTTGGGCATTGTGGCTGGCAGCGGCGCCCAGCACACTGCACTGTGTGCTGTGTAGGGTATGCGGGAGAAGTCGTGCATGCTCCGCCGGGCAAATATGTTTGCTGCTCGGCTTGCCGTTGGCATATTTAGTCTGCGGATCTTGAAGGTTAAATATATGTAAACACACCTTGAAGGCCAGCCTGTGCGGCACCCCACAGCCCAGACCAGCCACCCAGCCCTCCCACCCTCCCCCCTACCGTGTGTCTCGGCTGCTGGCAGCTTGTCTGGCAGTTTTTGACTCGTTTGCCAAATGGCATACAAGATATTTATGCATATTAAAACAATTTACTTATTATGCCTGAATAATTGAGTGAGCGGCGGGAATAAATGCCAAGTCTCAAATCTCGCCCTCTCACTCGCCCTCTCCCTCCCTCTCGCTCCCTCTGTTGTCTCCGAGTTTTGAGAATTCACAGCAGCGGGTCTTTGCATATTGCATTTGTAAGGCAAACGCTGCGGCTACGTAATATTTATACGTACCCGGGCACAATTGACAAAAGTCGAGTGTGGAGACAACCTAGCATGTCGGCCATGTCGGGCGACAACGCAGCGCAAACTTCAACAAAGCGTTAATTAATACTCGCAAATGTTTGCGCTCCGTCTGGCAATGAAAAAGTTAAGCGAGACACCAACAACTCCAGCAACAACTACAACAACGATTGAAGCAACCAACCAGCCAACCAACCAACAGTGGAAATAAAAAAAAAGCTCTCGTCATAAGTCAAATAAAAAGCGCAGTGCAATGTCGAACAAAAAAATTCCAGTGAATAGGCTCTCTCGTTTTCCCATGGCAAATAATTGTGGGCCAGATAAGCAACCAGCCAGACAGTCAGCCAACGAGCATATTCGCCAAACACTCAGATACTTTTTGAGGCACAAAAGCAGCAAAAGATACTCCAAAAAAAAGGTAGTAGAAAAAATACGATAGTTACAAGACTTGTTTAAGTCATAAACCTAAAGCTCTTAAAGAGTCTGTTGTACTTATTAAAATTCACGCTGGTAATTAAAGCCGTCCGCCAGGGTGCTATAAATATCTTTACAAAACATATTCTTAGTACAAGCAGCCTTCCACACGGCAAGGAAGTCCGAAAATTTGGGAAAAGTATATTTGCTTAGTTTAAACTTTTCTTAGTGCAGGCTAAGTGCCGAAAAGAAACTCATATAAATGCCTAGAAAGTTAGAGAAGTTGAGAAAAGAATATTTACTTGTTGGAAACACTTTAAGCTTACGCGAATAAGCTGGACATTTATAAGACACCTAGTTACAAAAGCAAATCATTCGATTGAATTATAAGCCCAAAGTCACAATGTATATTTAGGCTGATGACTAACGAAGTCTCGCAGAAAGCGATATCTAACTTTTCTTAGTAGTGCCAAAAGCCCCGAAAGTCTGGAAATCTAAAAACTAAATAATATTTACTTATGGCAAACACTTTTAGCTTAAGCAAAGAAGCTGAAATTTATACGCTAGTGACATAGGCAAATCTTTCGATTGAATTAGAAGTCCAAAAGTCACAAAAAATACAAATAATTGTTAAAAAATTATATTTCATACTCTAACTTTATAGAAGTATTCGCTTCTGATAAAATCTGCCTTTTAAACGACTAGAAAAAATGGATAAAATAATATTAAGTTACTTTAACTTTTTCTTGTAACTCTCAGTAAATATAACTATGGAGTTAGGCAGATTATCAGACAAACTAACCAGGAATAAGGCAGATTTTGTCAGTCAAACTATTCATAGAGTTAGACAGATTGGATTAGACATAAACTATTAATGGATTTTAGGTAAAATAACAGACAATAGTTAATAGTTTTTATATTTTTCTTCGTAAAAGCTACAAAAACTAATCTCACATCAACTTGGAATAAAAAGTAGCCTAACTTTTTAAAGATACACCAAGCTAAAGCTGAAGGTTAATAAATTACAACAGTTGGAATAAGGTAAAGCGATTCTTTTAGCAACTTCTTTGGCTTGGCTAAGTGCATATTGAAAAACACAAAAAGCCCAAAAAGTGTTAGACATTGACGGCGAGTGCTTTGGAACTCTTGGGCATTCAGATGAGACTGGACTGGAAAGGCATACAAAATCGAAAGCGTACAATTCGCAGCTAATTTTATTGGCGGCATCAATCAGTCTGGAGCTTGGAGCTTCGTTGTCGTCTGTTGTCGCTGATTGCAGCCCGAAACCGACCCCAAAGTGCATGGCGAGCAGACGCAGTCATTTTTAATGTCCATGGCCATCAGCAGCAGCAAGTGGAGCGTTGGGGAGGGGACCGGAGCGGGAATCCCGCCATCAGATGATGCACAGACGTCGGCGTCGGCGGCGGCGGCAACGGCGGCGGCAATCATCAATTTCTCAGTGTCGCATTAGTTTTCATTAATTTGAGCGGCGGCGACGACGACCAAATGAAGCGGCACAGATGGACCCCAAGCCAGACAATTGCAGCTACAACAACAGCAAGAGCAACAACAACAACTACAACAAGAAGAAGAAGAAGAAGAAGCAGAAGTTGATGCGCTGCAGCATTATTGATGCATTCGCCAGGCATCGGCGACAGCCAGACACAGCTCTGACGCGGGCCTCCGGACCTGAGCCGGAGCGTGTGCACATAAATGTTGCCAATTCGGCTATTTTCTGGCTGAATTTGGCCATTTTCGGAGGATGTCAGCAAAAAACTGTTGTAATTTTGCAGCTGGATGAAACTTGGAATATTTTCGAGATAAATTTGGCTGTTTTCTGAGGGCGTCAGCAGAAAACTGTTAAAATTAGCAGCTGCCTGAAAATTGTGAATTTTTCTAGCTAAAATTGGCTTTTTTCTGAGGTCGTCAACAGAAAACGGTTTAAGCTGCCAGGTGCGTGTAACTCTGGCTATTTTCTAGCTAAATGGCGAATGGCGAATAAACTGATGAAATTTGCAGCCGCCTGCACTTTGGAATATTTTACAGCTAAATTAGGCTATTTTGAGACTTTGTTAGCTCGATATGTCTGAAACTTGTAGCTGCCTGCAAATCTGGCTATTTTCTAGTTATATTTGGCTATGTTTAAAAGTCGCCAGCTGTTGATTATTGAAATTTGCAGACGCTCGCTTTTAAATTAATTTAGCTACATTTTTTAGCCCATTCTCAAAATATTTTGGTTATCCAATACAATGGAATCTATTGCAGAACGTATTTAATAGATCATATTCAGTGTTTTTTTTTTTTTATTACGTGACAACCCTGTTTGTTGTCTATCGATAACGAAATATTAGATGTTTTGCTGCAATGTAACATGTTAAATATTTCTTAAAAGAATTTAACTAGAACTTGTGAGTTTTTTGAAAATTTAATCCAGACTTTAAGAGCTGCCTTGGAAAAAGACTAACAGTAGAGTAAAAGTACAAAATGATGGGACTTGGAAAACCTTTCCAGCTGTTTCAGCTTCTTGGCCTTTTTGTGCACTTAGTTCTACGAATCAACCTGCTAATTTAATTTAGCTATTTTTAGCTACTTTTGAGCATTACAGTTAGCTAAATTCTTATAAAAGCGACAGCTGGCAACACTGGCGAACATAGAAGCAAACTGAAAGCTCATTCAGAGACGTTTGCGAGTGTCTTGAGTCTGCGGGCAGACAGAAAGATGAAGAGACGGAAAGACGAAGAGACAGACAGAGAGACAGAGAGACAGACAGAGAGACAGACGGAGAGACAAGACGAAACT